AAGTTTAGGTTAACATTATTCCCGAACCGAACTTGGAAATGAGATGTTAATTATTTAATACTAATTTTATATGATTATGATAATAATACTGCTATTAGGTATCGTATACAGGTGCTTCGTCAATATAAATTTAAATTTGTATAGATATACCATATAGAGAATAAGGTTAAACTAAATAGGTATAAAAATCGGAAAATATATTAACTAACTATAGTCGTTATAAACAGTTAGATATTTATTAAAAGAGCGTCAATTGATAAACTAAGGATATTTTACCTACCCATTACTGAGTTAATTAGTTGACACCTATTGTTTTTGTTTTCTGGCCCAAGTATAATCATAATGGTAGTCCCATTATGAAAAATAATATAATACCAAAGCAGATTTTATATCATTTTAAAATTAAAAGTATAGACAGTTGTATCATAGGCTATGATTTAGAAAATGTACGGTAATATAATGTTGTAGGCATGTGTATAAAGTAGTTGTAACCTCGTCTGGTCTGGACAAGTCCTAGACGCATTTATTGACTAGTAAAACATGTTGTGTACACTCAAACTCACTATGTTATCTTAATTCGCCTCATTAGACTTAGCGCACAAATATCTACTTTACATAATTTTATCGAAGAAAATTGTCCACGTGGGCGCATTGACTTGTAGACGTGATCCGTTTTAATGTGACCCTTCCTTGAAATATGCAAACACAATTGCCCTCTCGATGTCGACATGTACACATTAGATCTACTCACGCTTGATCTATGCACTAAGACTCTATTAGAATACTCACAGCTGCGCTTAGACGAAAAAACGTCGACGCTGTCATTAAAACGATTTATGCACCCACAAGTGTCAACAAACGTTTCCTTTGCCATATGTCCCATAAAAAAGTAGCCCTACAAAAGCCACCGATACTAAAACAACAGTTGTAAATCACATGTAAAAGTTTTACGAATTAGTAACAATTAAAACGTTGAAGCAAACAACAGTTGTTGCGAATGTCCCGGCAATTGCGGGACCATTGAGAATTACGGGCGGTTTACAAGCTATAGATCTTAGTCCAAAATTCTTTACGACTAATATAACTTGCGCAATCCTTTTGTCGCCCGTCGAGGGAACGGGTCGCAGTTGGACAAGTTTCTTTTGTTTGCGACACGTGTTGCAAAACGGGTTGCTGACACTTGCAAGGGAATCTCTAGAACGATTGTGAGTCGATATCCTACAAGAAGAGCTTTTGTTCTCTTAAATTTGATGTTAAATTTCATGTCGGTCGGCTGGATCTAACCAGCGGTTGTCTTTTTCGAATGTTAGAGGTCTTGACAATTATGAAAAACCAGAATTTTGTTGGCTTCTTGCATTTATTTATAAGGTTTGTACGAAATACAAAACAAAACAATTATATTATTAATTATTAGATCTTAGATCATATTAAGAAAAAGCTTAGTCTAATCAACACTTTATGCAGGTAACATACAAAACAAGTTAAAATACCTATTTATCTAATATCACTAATACTACTGCCTAATTACGTATAATTGCGAAATTCTGAAATTGAAAATGTTTATACGTGTACATATCTTAACGGTTTGATAAATCACCATTATAATAGAATAAAGACATAAGCTACTATCAATTAGTATCTCTTTATATGGCTATGAAATTTGAACTGAGAGTATCAGTGCTCTATGCAGGATATATAGAGTCGTCACAGCCCCATTTTCCGGAAACCATAATGCATACAAACAGATGATATTCTCCAGATTTGTGCGTGAGGAAACATTTGGTGTCATTATATACCTATTAGGGTCTGAAGTGACACTACACGTATTTTTTGCTAGGCCACAAGCCACGCCCAGGGCCTTAATGAACCCATTTATGTCATGTTTATTGCTTTTACACCGCACTCCGGATTTTGAGGTGAATTTACAAGGCGCAAATTGACATGGAACTGTGACCGTACTAATTAGATTGCACATGTGTGTTTATGAGTTTTTATTTCTGATTTCTTAGTATTTTGGGTATTAAATAATATTGTATCTTCATAATATTCATATTTATGTACTTATGAGCAGAAGAATTATGATCATTGTTGGAAAATCTGTTTATAACTCTCCGTCTTCCTTCATTGTAAAGAAATCAAGGTAAATGCCTTGATTTTTTGGTATAGTCACTATAGTAGGAGTGTTTTTGAAGATTTTATATCTAAGTATGGAATGACTTTTAAAGTCATATGGTATATATGCAATGGCGGAGTACCAGCAGCCAAGGATAATATTGGAGGGCAACCTGAACCATCATTATTAAGTCACTATTCTCTGCTGGTTTAGTTTTGGGACCGTCACCCAAAGCTAATGTAAAAGAATACAATTGTCTCTAATGAAATATTAATTTTAGGATATAATATTCATTATTACACATCAAAACCGTTTTTGTATTTAGAGGTATTATCTACTGGTTATAGTGCCTCGTAATTGGAAAACGACTGACCAAATCCCCTGGAGTTCAATTCTCAAAATGAAAATATATTTTCGTTCAGACGACTAAACAATGGACAACGTATAGGAAGAAAAGGTCCCCTAGTATTTACGGGGCACCCTCAGAAGGCTTTTACGGCTTTTGTAATTAGCGTCACTCAATTAACCACTACTCTGGGCCAAAGAATTTTTGTTAATAATTAAAAAGGTTGCACTTAACTTCCCAGCAAGGGAGGTTAATTTACTGGCAGGGAAAAGAAAAGCCGGTGGTTTCAAGAAATACGGTCCGGTTCGATAATAAAGAAATTCAATAAACAGAAATTTCAAGCAAAAAAGTAGTTCAAAACTGGATTTTTTCATAATACATAATACAAAATAATTATAGTATAATTATTTAATCATGTTTAATTATATAATATTTGCATAGTTAATTAGGTAAATATTAATATTAACAAATTATTTAGAAATGAGGATATTCCGTGTATAAAAACACAGGTTAATCGATGTCAGGTCTCTATTAGGTACAATAACTATTTCGAAGCCCAGGAAATTCATCAGACCAGGTCTACTCGAATCTGACCTAATCCGATTAGTTTTCATTATCATTTTAAATTCATTCATCGCCAGCAATATATATTTTCTTTCATGTAACTCATGTGCAATAAAGTAAAAAAGAAATTAATTTCATTATATAAACGCATATAGCTTCAGATTAGTAAATATGTAAGTAAAGTACTCAGAACCACATTAAAATAAAATTATAATAAATAACCATGCGATAGAACGTCAACTAGTCCTAATTAAAGAATTGCATGTACTTTGGGTGTAATATGGGACATAAAACCTGCTTTAACTGTAAAAATAATAATAGGTATGCTTAAAACATTTAGACTGACATATATAATAATAATCTAGATAAATCTATTTAAATATCCATCAAAAGTTTCAGTATTACTTTAATCTGTTACACGACAACTACAAGAAATATAGATTTTTTTAAAATACCACATAGTTTTTATAAAATAAATTCTTGTTCGAAACACGATTTCATTAGAAAGATACGACATTTACCTACTATAACTGTTTCACGTTCTACATATTTTATATGCGTTCTTGCGTTTCCGGTATGTCATGGATTTCATTCGCGGTTGATATTTTAATTTGTAGGTGTCTTGAGAAACTTTGGCGGTTTCAAAATAAATAAAAAAGTTGAAATGCACTCGGCGTGCGTTCAAAAACCTATACATTAAAGAGCACGCAACGACGCGGCATGCAATGAAAGCTTTCGATACATACCGCGACGCGCGCTGCTCGCCGCCGAGCCGTGGCCGCAGGTTTTATATACAGTAGGGCTGACGATTATATATCTATTAAAGTTAAATTATATATACTCACATTATCATTCTCAAATTCTTTGTTTGTACTGAAGAAAAACAATGTATAAAATAGACGAAAGTAAAATATTTGGTGTTGGTAGAAGTTTGTTACGAAATCGCTTCTGTAGAGATAATGTAACATGTTCTAAATTGCATTTGAATATGAAATTTCAGTGATACTAGTTCAAAATATTTTTTCTCAGTGTCATATTTTTTCTTTTGTATAGAAAACGAAAATTGGCTTTATTACAGTAAGGATATATTGAGTTTTATTGAAATCTAATGACCATATAAATATTAAGTATATACAAACAAACGTATATTTAATATGCATCTTCTTCGTTTGTATACCATTGTTTTGTGTGTGTGCGTCCTTTCACGTGAATAAATCTTCTATATAGGTATCTATCATCTAATTTATTTTATTAATATGAAACTAAATGGTAATAAAAAGTATATAGGAGTACTAATGCCAATATTAATGTATGCCATATTAAGGTACATAAGATGAACTATTAAACTTATTATTTGTAACATTATCAACCCTAATATAACTAACCGATCGAATTTTCAAGAACGATTGGTCTTTCCAGTTATCATTGAATCAAATCGGGTTCCTGGTACCCAATTCAAAAGCGTTCAATTACCTGAATAAGTTTAATGCCTTTCATTAAATCAGAGATTTTTGACACTGAATACATACTGTTAGTAGCAATACTGGTATGTATATAAAACTTATGCGAACTGATGTTAAAATTATGTACTAATATTAATAAAATTAAAACGGCCACTTGAATTCTTTTAACACAAGAGATATTATCTGAAAACTTTATATAATAAAACTACCTCACGCTTGCTTACGTTTCTTAATCAAGTTTGCAACCAGAATCGAGCGGTTATCTTGCGGCTTTTAAAAGGGTGCCCCCGGCCACATATCAATATTGACGGCTGAACGAAATGAAGCTGTCGTCATCGCCAATTGTATAGTCATTTCAACTAACTCGTGTGAGACAACCAATCCCATTCAACATTCAAACGCTAAGAGGGCCCACAGATGCGGTCTCTGTATCTAAAAGCCCACTTGAAACCACTGATGAACTGAGGTTAATAAACTCCACACATGTTTTAATATTGTATTTCATTTGTTTCAGGAGCGAACGGCCTGAGAAGACGAGGAAGACAAACGTACACTAGATATCAAACGCTAGAGTTAGAGAAAGAGTTCCACACGAATCACTACCTCACGCGGAGGAGACGCATCGAAATGGCGCATGCATTGTGTCTCACGGAGCGACAGATCAAAATATGGTTTCAGAATCGAAGGATGAAGTTAAAGAAGGAAATACAAGCTATAAAGGAGCTAAATGAACAAGAGAAACAGGCGCAGGCGCAGAAAGCGGCAGCGGCGGCTGCAGCCGCGGCGGCCGCACAGGGCCATCCTGAACATTAAGGCCTTCAGCCATAAGGTCCGCCCAGGGCCAACTTGAACACTAAGGTCTTATACCACAAAGCCCGCCTAGGGCCCGGCCTTGCCCAGTGATAAGATCGCAGTCCGCCGAACACTCATTAGTTTTGTGTTTGTATATTGTTTGTAATTATTTTCGTTATTTAAGTGTTGTTCGGTTGTTGTGATTATTTTTTTAATTAATTATTAAATAGACACATGTTTTTCTAATTAATAAAACGAACAATAAACTGTTAAATGCTAGATTAGAAACGGGTCGTATTATTTTGTGTTTCGAGTTTTGTTTATTGTTGATTTATTAAATTTTAATATTTTAATTCGCGCTAAAGTCAAAGGCGTATGGAAATCAGTGCAATTTGTAGGAATCTCTTCCGTGTAACATAGTGTAGATGAATCGTAGTGCGTTTTACATTATGTGCGACATAGCAAATGTAGCTCGGCAGCGTCGGTGAGACGGACTGTATTGTACAAATTTAATATGCCTACCAAAGAGACCCGGTCTCGTACCCTTAATGCTAAGTAAAGAGTCGTAAGTTAATAATCCGCTATTCTGATATCGGACTTATGTGTGAAACAGAATAATCTTCCGCGCCATCTAATCCTCCAATACTCTCGCATAAGTATAGTGTAAACGTGATCGTGTTCCTGCAGTTTTAATAGTCGGTGAAGTTAAACAAATTGCCATAAATATAAGTAGTTATTATTTAGATACATAGCGGTGTAAATAGTTAGGGTATAGTCTACGATGTTGAAAGTGAGCGGTTTGGGATTGCGCCGGCGCCGTGGAATGGTCAGAAAAACCAACCAGGAGGGAGAGAGAGGCGACGAGGAGCGGGGAGCGTGCGCCGCCGGCCACCAAACAGGACTAGGTAAGTTTTTGTCAAAGTGAGCGGCAGGCATTATTTATCGTGTGGAGACGGTCGCGAAAAACTGAGCCTTCATATGTCGATGCTACTTCTGAAGTCCTCCATGCGGGAATTCTACTGTATTGTTTTCTTTTTGTAATATTTTTACCAGCATTCGATTTTCCCCGACCGTCTCCCCTGTATTTACTACTACCACCTTTAATACTTTTAAAGTACCTATAAAATGCTTTAGACATGTGTGATGCATTGGATATATATGATTTTCTTACTGCAGATGTGTATGTCAAAGAATGGGAATGCCTATTCCTTATAGGGATACTTTTAATTAACACTAGAACGCTCGACACTCTTACAATGTTTAAAAGGTAAAAAGGTATACAATTTAACGAATTTAAATGTAATACTTTAATAATCGTAATGACTTCATTAAGTCCTAAAACAACAGTTAAATCTATTAATACAGTTTTATATACTATCTTATACCCGTACAAGGTTGCAAAAGAGTCACTAAAAACTGAATTCCACAGCTGGTAGGATCTGCAAAACAGCGGCTTTATTCTACTTTAGCTAGTTAATGATGATACTTTACGAGACATATTTAAGTGTTGACATAACACATAATTACGTGTCTAGACTATATGTAAGTATCTTTTTTAACGGTACAAAACGTTAACGGTTATTGCAATGTGCAGTTGATTATTTACGAGATTATTCGTGCATTTCTACTTAAGAAAATATCCGTCATTATAGTACAGGGAATTGTTTAGTCTTTTAAAGAGTTATGTAGGTATACGTACAAAATATAAAAATTTAACTTAATTGTACATATAACATATATCCATGAGAAATAGGTATATCCAATGAAATATAAATAAAAATAGTAACGATGAAAGGTTTGCATAATTTTTTTTCTAAGTTTCAATGTCATCATTATTTCACCATTCCACTGCAAGAAGTAGAATTCCTATAAATGCTAACAAACGGTTCGTTTCTGACTCATATCGATAGAATAACCAATTTGGCCTGCCTTTTTCAATAGGTAAATAAATAAATCCTATTCTAACGATATTGAAACTCTGCGTCTTTGATGTTAACAGATACTCATATATATAAATATATACTCATAAATTTAAAAAAATGTGCTATATAAGTACTTACCTATAGACTAACAGCAAAAATGCACCTATATAGAGTAGTCATATATAGTTAATATACCTTTATTAATGAATTTAGTCGTAACTCAAGAGTCTCAGTCTTTTATGTATGATGGAAAATCAATAACATATTAACAGTAATTTTCTGGTATTATGTAGTACTTGGTACTAGTAATAGTATACAATTATTTGATTTACTTTGCTGTCGTTACCTGTCCGCCATCTTTTCGGTCCTCGACCCGCGCTGCCAATTCGACGATAGCAGATAATTATTTAGTCGATACGAAAAATTATTGGTTGCTGACTTACAGACGTATCGCAAGAGCCGATTTTAAAACGTCTTCATTTTTGGCGGCCTTGATAGCTCGTGTTTTATTCTAATTTTTATTTTATATTAGCTATAATAAAGTCTTCAAAACGTTTTATTTAATACAGCGGTCGTATATTAAGCTTAATTATTTATAATGAGTTAATTGAAATATACCTGTGTACAGACAAATTTTGAATTATAATTAAATTAATTAGGATCGTTGTCATTCTTACTCTAGTATTTACTTCAGAATAATATTAGATATACCTACCTATATACTTTTACAGAGCCTTTACTCGGTAAACACAATAAATAGTATGTACACCATACTATTTATTGTGATTACCAATATATTGTATCTACACCAAATTTTATTAAGTCTGTACAACTGTTTAAGCGTAACTAAGTATCTAACATCAAACCTCTTAGTTATTTCACATTACTAATAAATAATTGTTACTGCACAAGCCACGTGGTACAGAACTCAATTTATTGATGTACCTAACTACAAACTGTTCTGTTCCTATTATTTTTTAAGTATAAAATAACTATATCTTATGTCTCTATACATTTTATATCCTCCTGTCTAAGTTAGTAGGTATGTAAAATGTAGATATAAGGAAGCATAGAAATGTATTTTTTAAAATACTTTTTTTTGCTATATAATTTCAACAAACAGTTTAACAATGAAATACAGTACTTTAATTTTTAATATATGTAGGTACATATAGACGTTTTTTACTATTTACTTTTGTTTTTTACTTAGATATTTAGGTAAGTAGGTATCGTACCTACTACGTAAGAAAACACGATCTGGTTGCTTGTTTATTTTAACTCTCCACATGTTTTTGCACAAGAATATCTTTAATGCGCGTACATAATGTATCTACCGTGCAATTTTCATATAATAGCGCCTATTATAATATTGACCGGGCTACTGTAGCCGAGTTAATTAGACGAATTGAATAATTCATGACCGATTAATCAATGTGTTGGTTTTATTTTTATTTAAATTAATTTATATTCAGCGCCGGTTTCTTGTAAAAATATTGCAATTTTATATAGGCGGAACCTGTTTGCAATAAAGGATGGCGAGATGGCGCGGTAGCGGGCGCGGTGCATACCTATATCATTATGTACACGCGGTCCGGTCTCAGCTCGGCGGGCAGCTGTGCCAAGATGAAAGATCTCCTTTCTTATGTGCACTGTGTGCTGAGTGGTGCACTCTTCAATTTTGCACGTGTTGCACTGCACACATCATTTCTAGAAGACGAAATTAATATCATTTTTGGATCTAATTTTGTTAATGGATATTTAGATATTCTGATTTATAGTTTTTCGTAATTGTTTACTTACATTTATTCTTTACTACGAAAGTAAAGTATATTCACTACTGGATTAGGTACTTAGTATTAAATTAGGTATTAAAATTATATTAACTACATAATAGAGTCATTAATATTACAATTTTCTTATCTACATCTAAAATATTTACCTAATAGTAATTTTAATCACTTAATTTGACTGAATAAATATAGGAATTTGAAATACGTAATTATGTTGTAGAAATCTATGTAATACCAATTTAAGCTTAGAAAAATTCTTGATACGGGGGTCATCAATTTTATATAAACTTAAAAGTTTAAACGTACTACTCTTCATAGAGCTCTAGAAATGCTTGGTTAGCATATAGTAATAACTTTTCAAATACAGCTTGGGTGGATATACCTTTTAAAATTTATATGTTTCAAATATCCATATCTTAAATCATCCTGTTTTTCTATTTCTTTAGATAATCTATCAGAATCGCTTTACAGCAAAAGTTTTAAGTAGTTGAAATACCTAGCTAAAATTAACTAGATTAACCAAAACTAACGATGCAATAAATTACTTTTAATACTTAATTAAAATAATGTTATTATTCAAAAATACAATGAGTTCTTATTAAATTAAAAAAAAACTAAGATGAGATCAATCAATTATCTTGAACGTTCTTCAAGCGCACGATCGTTCTCGTATTCACATGTACTCAATTGTCTTTCGTTGGTACGACTGCCTCAGGCAGGGAGCAGGGACAGTTCGTGCTCGATACAATCTCGTCACCCGGCTTGCCCTCCCTTCCTGTACACGACTCCTTCAACATTTCCCGCTATTTGAGAAACCTACGCGTTTCTAACTTCGTTTTGTTCCCGATTTCTGTGTTTGCTAACGAGTTCCGCCTTATATTTGTAATTTCGCATTTAGAATCTATGGGAACGCTTTCGTCGTATGCATTGGATAATCCTTTTGAACTTTGTGAGCGTGAATGTGATGTTACAACTTTCTTCTGTCTATTTATACTATATGTACTTATATATAATCTTTATAGATATTAGTCTCCAGGTTATAACTTGGTATTGTCATTTTACCACTTTAGTTCTCAGGAATATTATTTTGCATTGAAGTACTTTAATTGTATGCAGTGACATTTTTGGAGTAATAGTCAATCTCAGGCAGTAGTTATAACTCACGTTTTCCCACGATCAATGGACCTTAGTAAATGACTGTCAGTCACATCATGCATGAATGCACGATGTTTTTAAGTATTTACATAATTCTCTAGTGAGAACAGGATTTAACATCCAAGTCCTAGTAATTTCTCGGGAGTAGAGCAACCAAACTAATTCTAAGAACTCAATTATTTTTATTACGATTATAGTTTCTTCAGGTATCCAAATCCCTGAAATTATCACTAACTGTGTGAATTGTTCAGGGTTATTATTATTATTAATTTTTAAAAATAATAATCGCAGTAATTTTTCACATATAATAATAGAATAATATATTTCCAATAGAATTAAACAAAAATAGTGCACTTTCCAATCCTTGTCTATGTCAGTCACTGCGTTGTATATGTATTGTATTTAATACCTACTTATTTTATTTGTAGGCTAACATTTGTTGTATTGTCCCTGTTTTTAGCATTCTTATTCAAAATTAGCAATCTTAACATTAACGAATGTAGTCAAGAACACTTGCCATGTTTACCACACCACTGTGTCTCTCTAACCACGACGTTGACAAAATCACTGACTCTCATTTGGTGGAAGCCATTCAAATTATAAGATAAAATGAAGGCTATTTCTTGATACAGTTGTACAACATTGAGTGTCATCTTTGCATGTGCGTTAACGATATTCAATGAAGAACAAATAAGTAGTTATACATTCAGTGGTATGGTATCTGCTTACCCCAAATATAAAAGACGTAAAGCAACAAAGTAAATACAATAACAATAAAGCTCATCTTACTACAACATACACTATATGAATTGGACAATAATCATAATTATGAACTATAAACCAACCCCATTCCGTTATCAAGTTAACCCCCATTAAATTACGCGACCATTTAATAATTTACGAGTTATACGAAATATAGTTAACCGCAGCAGTTATTAATTGCTATGGTTACTGTAAAGGCAGTAATACACTTGAGCAATAAATATCACTATCGATCGAACTGCCTACTTATGTCTCTTTACATAGGCTATAATCAAT